AAAAAAAAAAAAAAATGTTCCGCATATTTTAAGAAACCCCAGTAAGTACAAGTTAAAAAGTTTAAGTTACAGTGGCGGCCTCATAGGAGGGTCGTCACAAGGCAGGCCCACCGACCGAAACTTTCAGCACTAATTACTACTACGTCCGAAATAATATGAAAATGCACATGCACACACACATCTGTGCCATGCATGCATACTTTATAAAAGTAATAGACATATGTGAATTCACATGTACATAATTCTTGATTTTTTATCATATCCCTAACTATTTACATGTGTTTTTTAATCAGTCTACATCCTAACTCTTACAAATTACCGTGAGTTGAGTAGTTATATTATAAAGTTAGAAACGCAGCTGAACCGTAAAACAATATATTATGCCATATAGTTTAAGATGGTTTTAACGTTTTAATAGGCGACACTTGCAGGATTGATGATATATATATATATATATATATATATATATATATGAACCCATTTTGGAATGACAGTTGCGAGTTTCCCTCGTGGCAAACTACTAGTCTTCCCTTCTTCAGTTTTCTCATACGTTGGTTGGAGACAGTTGGATATGTATAATTCCTTGTTACTTATGAGTCATAATCCACCTAATAGAAAGAGGAAAATGAAATACAAAAGAAAGTGATAAATACAACTTTTTCTTTTCGTTTTAAAAGAAAGGTGCTAGAACTTTCACACAATTTTTTTCATGGATTTTTTTCGAAACAATCCTAAAAGCTTATCTTTTCATATTTTGTTATTATTGTTGAGTCCTTTTGAAAATGACATTATTAGGAATCTTCTTTTTTTTTTTGTAAAATAACTTTCCTAAAATTTTAATTTGTAAAATGCTTTAGAGTGACCAAAAACAACCACCTTTTACATTGCAGGTTGCTCAGTATAAAACTGAAAACGCCATTTTGCTAAGTTCGGTTTATAGCACATTCATTAATTCGGCAAGGAGCAAACTTCCCTTCAATGCCCCAATTTTTTATTATTTAGGAATAAATTCACGAGAAGTTCCTAAATTCTTTTCTCTCTTTAAATTAGTCTTTATATTTAAATTTATCTCATAAATAGTCCCTAAATTGAAAACGTGTATTATAAATAATCCCTTTATTAAAATTTTGGATAGAAACTATTAAATTGGGTGGTGGTTATGATTTATGGGTTATTTTAAAAGTTTAATACTACTCTCACTTGTTGTGTTGTGTGAAATCTCTAAATATTTTCTACTTCTTCAAAATTATTTATTAATTTTTTTTCCTACAACTAATATCTAAATTGTCATTTTTTATCGTAGTGAATTTACCTTTTTAAACAATTAAATTAATAAAATATATTAAAATATTCAATTTTCTATTAAATTTTCAAAATTATAAAATTCTAATATACATATACCAATAAAAATTTAGAATAGACTAATAATAAAAATAAATAATGAATAAAATAGTAAATAAAGTGAATTATCATAGATGGTCGTATATATTTCATGTAGAAAGATATAGAAATAATTAATAAGCCCATTTATTTATTTACACTTTTGATTTATATTTATTATATATGTTATATACTTATATTATCTATTTAATATATTATATTATATACGTACTAAGGAAATATGAAACCCACCGTAAAAAAAAAATGAATATTTTTTGGGAATTCTCAGACAAAATGGGATGTATTTTTTTTTTTTGTTTTACGAAAAGGAATATCTATTTAATCATTGTATATTCAATTTCGGTCAGTCATAAATTTTGTATTTGTGGATGGAATCCCCCGAAAATAGTTAGAATGACAGTTCATGCTCCTTAGGAAGTACCAAATAAATGACTACTTGAATCAAGGTTTGTGTAACACCTCTTACAGAGTTAAGATAATTATTTTGAGAATTATTATTGTCGTTACGATTTTCAAGTGTTATATAGTATATATATACTACCTTTTCCTTATGCACATGTATCGCAATAGCAATCAATGGTTTTATTTTTGTTTTGCAACTTTTACTACTCCATGTATTGTGCATTATGTTTGTTTGTTTGTTTTTTTTTCTTTTCGGGTGAATGCCTTACGGTAATTAAGCTATGGCTTATTATATATAATCAAATCTTACGATAATAGAACTTACCAAGAAAGAGAGCAGTATTTCTTGTGTGTATTTCTTTTCTGGTTTTTTTTTTTTTTTTTTGGTTGTTTTCAATTGGTAAGGATAAAGTGAAGGTGGTAATATCCATAAAATTAGAAAAAAATAATAATGATAATATTCCCTTCCAATAACTCCAACGTTAAGAAGGAAGAGTTTAAATTCTATCTACTAATGAAAAATATATAGTTTAGTTATTTCATGAATCATAGAACATATATTGATTCAAACAAAACCCAAAGAAAGGGGAAAAAAACAGGCACTCATGTTAAAGGGGAAAAAAAAGTCAGCTACTCAATATAGAGAGAAGAAAAAAATTCAAGAACTGATTTTAGAGAAGGGAAAAAAATCTTTAAAACCTCTCAAAAAATAAAAATTGTGACTATTATTAATAACCCCTTAAAAAATAAACTAAAAATCCTGACTTCCATCCAATATAACGTTTTTCATTTAAAAATTGAACTACGGGACCAATTGTGATACACTTTTTTAATTTAGGAACTATTTATGAGACAAATTTAAGTATAGAGACTAATTCTAAAAAGAGAAAAGAATTTAGGGGTTGTTCGGCAGGGTTAAAAACTCAAAAAAAGTTAACTCGAATTCTAATTTTATTGAAGTTTATATTCTTTTAAGTTTGAACTCGAGTTTGGGACTAAAACTCAAGTTCAAGTTTCCCCTTCAACTCGAGTTTAGAAATTCGAACTCAAATTAATGAATAGTATTTTTTCTATTCTTAAAAATGCTATAACTTTTTCGTTTTAATCCTGATTGAAATGATTTTTTTTCTATGCGTTGACAACGAAAAGACAAATAAAACCGCACCCATATACCCTATTAAAATTTTTCATCACTATTGAGTTTTTATTAAAATACTATCTAAATACAAATTCAAGTTTTGACTCGCTCAAACACAAACTCAAAAAAAATTCTTCTCTCAAACCATAACTTAAATGTACATAACCAAACATAAACTCAAGTTACAACTCAAATTTAACTCAAAAACTATACTCAAATCACACTCCAAAAGAACATGCTCTTAAAGACCTCTCATGAATTTATTCCTATAATTTATTGTGGCGTTTTCGTCTTCCCATTATTATTATATAGTGTCCAGCACATAGTGGCAGTTTATGGAGACTAACGTATTCAATATAATTCATGTGTTTCAGCTCCCCTATCTTCCAAAATAATAGAATATCCACGCCACAATTTGACTAGAGAAAAATATTGGAAGGAGGAAAAACTGCTCGATTAACAATATCAAGTAGTGGTTATACACATTGTTAGCTGGGATATGATTCCATGTGATCGGTATTTAATTTGTAGTTATTTTCTTCGTATTTTTTCGGTGTAAATTATCAATTAATCTAGTAGGTAGGCACACTGTAGACCAAAGAGACTATTTTCGTAATACTCTATTTGTTTGTTGGCTTGTTGAAGACTTCCTATATTTAAAAGAGTATTCGGCAGTGCTAGCCATTACAGACTCTCGGAAAGTTGGAACCGGAGAGTTCCTGCGTTCTGAGGTCGAGTAGATTCTGTTTGGCTTCCGAGAAAAATAGAAAGAAACAGGGGAAGAGATCAAAGAAGGCGGAAAATGGCGGGAGGAGCTTTTGCCACGGACGGACCCGTCAGCGGCTTTAACGGCAAGATAACGGCGTGGGTGGTGATTACATGCGTCGTCGCTGCGTCTAGCGGCCTCATATTTGGCTATGACATCGGAATTTCAGGTCCGTACGTTTCTTTTGCAACTTTTCTTCGTCCCATTGAGATATCCAAACTAAAAGGAATGTTCTCTCTCTCTTTTTTTTCATTTTCTGTTAAATATAAAAAATAAAGAAAAAAGATTCAAAAATTAGAACCTCAGTCGAATTTGTTTGCTCTAAATTAATTATCAAAGGCAGAATCACGTACATCTTGGGGAAATTCATATTAGAGCTTCCCCAACCAAAAGAAAAGAAAAAAACAGACTTCGTTCAATTTTTCAATTTGAGTTTTTAATTAAAATTAAGATGTAATTTTTTTAAAATTTTTTACTATAATAAAAAAAATTATATATAACTTTTTATAAAAAAATTTTACAATAATAAATTAGAATTAAAAATTTGAGCGGAAGAACTGAACTCTGTAATTACTTTCTCTTCGTTTGTCTAAGGAAAGACTTTCACAAAAAACAAACAAAAACATTAGTTTTTCAAACCATAACAAAATACTGGCCCACCATACACAAGAAAACATAACTAATTACCGGATAAGTCAATAGGGTGGTGACATTTTGAACTATAATTGGCGCAAACGATCGACAAGTCTTTATAAGGGTAATTAAGAACACTGAGATTCCAAAAGGCTTAGGAAGACGTACACAAGGGTAATTTTAATTAAATTACAAATAACTATGGTCTCGTTCGTTTCGCTGATTCGGGTTTAAAATTCGAGTTGAAATGTGATTTTATATGAGAGCTTTTTACTGTAACAAAAAAATTAGATGTGACGATTTATGATAGATTTTTACTGTAATAAAACTCGAATTCTAAACTCGAATCAGCGAAACGAACGAGGCCTATGTCAACAACTCCAACTTTAGATGAGTTCTCATCATTTTTAATGCTCCTTGGAATCGCCAAACTCAAGCACATCACACTCGCCCAATTCCTTCGATCTCTAGCCAAACTCTCCAGCAGAGAGAATTTTATACAAGTATAAACGACGCCAAAGTTCAAGTCAAATGGCCTCATCCAAAGGGAGGCTTGAGTACTTCATTAATCCCCGTTAATTAGTTTTTAAGGACATGGAAAATGAGAAAAGTTGTTTTAGGTTGTTCATTGGTATGTTTAGTCAAACATATTAGGATGTTCATCGTTGTAGTAAAACGGCAAAAAGCTTCCAAGTAAATACGACATATGCCAACAGTAAAAGTGCCGTTGAACTTAAATGTTTTTTTTTTTTTAATTATTATAATAAATGCGAGGTCGTTGTACCTTTCCAATTATTTAACGAGGCGAAGGATTTTTTTTTTTTTTAAAAGAAACATATTAGTTGTTTACGACTTATGTACCTAAGCATATGTTTGGTAAAGCCTATGTTTACAACTTAGAGTAAGGATTTTTAAGAGGAAAGGGAATCTTGGGCTGTTTGGTAGAGAGAGAATAGAGAATAAAAAGAAAGTTGTAAATCTATAAGGCCGACTATTTTTTAATTCTTAATAAGGGGAAATTTAACAAACAAGTGGGATGTAAATTGACTATTTTGATCATAATCATTCATCATCTTCTTGTGTAAAGATATAATTGTAAAATGCTTTTTACTTTTCTTTTTTCTTTTAACAAACAACATGAAGAAGTTTCTCCCCTTTATCATTTTACTTCACTTTTCTATCCTTCCAACCAAACATCCAAAAACGTGCATTTGGTACTAGCCAAGAAAATTGCGTTGGATTGGTTGAGAAAAAAGGACTCCAATTTCATTTTGTGGCTTTGTGCAAAGACAATCTGATCGTCATCTTCTCTCTCAACATTGGCTATATCTTTTGTTACAAACGTCAGTCATTGGCTACTTTTTTGCTAATCAAAACGCTATTAGCTATCTGCATTGTTGGAAGATGCTCATAGCTAAGGTTTGTTCATTTATAGGAAAAACGTCATGCTTCACCAAAGTGAGGAAAATGGAACATTGGTAGGGTTTTTGATGTGTACAAGTTTTGGCAATTTGGGGGTTTGTTGCCTTTCATTTTTCATATTTTTATTGTTATGTTGGTGAACATTAAATGTGACAAGTGATACCATACAGTTTGAACAATTGTGTCACCTTTATTAATTATAAGTCCAAATCTGTTCACTTTAATAAGAATATTCTATTTTTTTTTTCAAAAAAAAACGTGCCTTTTTTTTTTCCTAATCGAATAGTTACATGTTATCTTTATGTATACCTCCTAGTCAAATGTTTTGTTTCATAAGAATCAGTCGTCTGTTTAGCAAGCAGCAAAAAAGGTTAAAGAAAAAAATAAATAAAAATCATAGTAGAGAGCCAACCAACAAATCTCAGATATATTCAGCTTTTTGGGAAGCAAGGGTTTTCGTCTATCCATCAGGGGAAAAGAAAGAGATCGCAAGATTTTTTGCTTTAACTTTCAGCTCAAAATTTGGGCTTTCTACATGGGGATATGACTTTATAGGGTTATTTTCGATGCTCGAACATATTTCAAAGATCCAAATTCTGCATAGCACACATTATAGTAGTGAAATGGAGCGCATATTGAGTGGCGCCGCGTACTTCTCACTCAAGTTTAGAATTTTCCTGGTTATACTCACTTTATAAGAAAAATTATAATTTTACTTGTACCTAATAATTGAAATATATAATTATTTCTTATTTAATAAAAATTGTCGTTTTTTTTTGTTCTTATAGTACACAACTAAAAAAATTTTCTACCTCTGATTCTGGCTCATTGCAAGCTAAAACATACAATTGTATGCAAAAGTGTACAAATAGTACGAAAGTTAGTTTTTAGGCCGAAATTCCTCGGTGTATTCAAGTTGTGTTTGAACATTCTATGTATAATTTTTCAGGAGGTGTAACGACAATGGTACCATTTCTAAAGAAATTTTTCCCATCAATACTAAGGAAGAAAGCCGAAGCCAAAACAAACTTGTATTGTGTGTATGATAGCCAAGTTTTGACAGCATTCACATCTTCGCTCTACATAGCCGGGTTAGCAGCATCAATGGTTGCAAGCCGTCTAATAACGGGGTTGGGCCGCAGGAATATCATGGTCTTGGGTGGCTGCACATTTTTTCTTGGAGCCGCCATTAACGGTGGTGCTGCGAACATCGCTATGCTCATATTAGGCCGAATCCTGCTTGGATTTGGGGTTGGTTTTACTAACCAAGTACGTCCTTTTTCTCTCTAATATTATTCTGTTGGTTATTAACAGAATAATATAGCCTAACAAACATTATGTGCATTTTATTTTTAAAAAAAATTAATATAGCCTAACAAACATTCAAGAACATTTGTCACATTTATTCTTGTATTAGGCAACTCCGGTCTACCTCTCGGAGGTAGCACCTGCCAAGTGGCGTGGCGCATTCAACACGGGGTTTCAGTTCTTCATCGGAATTGGGGTGGTGGCAGCCAACTGCATAAACTATGGCACGGCCAAGCACAGCTGGGGCTGGCGGCTCTCCTTGGGCCTCGCCATGGTCCCCGCCGCTATCATGACAATAGGAGCGCTCCTAATCTCGGACACGCCTACCAGCTTAGTGGAGCGTGGCAAACTATCCCAAGCGAAACAGTCCCTTCTCAAGGTCCGAGGCAAGCACTCTGACGTGGAAGCCGAGCTGGCCGAGCTTATGAAGTGCAGCGAAATCGCCAAAGCAGCCAATCAAGAGCCCTTCATGACCATATTTGAGAGGCAATACCGTCCTCATCTCATTATGGCAATTGCCATACCCTCATTTCAACAGCTCACTGGGATCAACATCATTGCTTTCTATGCGCCGGTGCTGTTTCAATCCGTAGGATTTGGAAGTGATTCATCTTTAATAGCTTCAATCATACTTGGTTTGGTCAATCTTGCATCCATCCTTGTGTCTACGTTTGTTGTCGACCGGTATGGTCGGAGATTTTTGCTCTTGGTTGGCGGGATCCAAATGTTTGTATGTCAGGTAATGCATATAATAATCAATCTAATAATATATAGCTGTATATCGATTTTAAAAAAAAAATTAAAAATTAAAAAATTACACTACAAAACATGTTTATATATAGGAATGGAATTGGAATATAACACTATTTCAAATTAATTATTTTAAGAATAATAAAATTACGTTGTAATTATTATAATGATTTTTAATACTTTACGTTACCAAAGTACGAATTATTATAATGAATGCTATTTGTTAGGTATTCTAAATTTTTTGTTATATATTATCAAAAAAAAAAAATTTCTTACATAGATTATGCTATAAGCCACTTGAGATCGTAGCTAAATTAGTGTTTAATAAATGTGAGCTGTTTTCAATATATTGAATCCTGAATTTGAGTTCAAGACAATAAGATCAAACTATATGTCTGACTAATCAATCAAGTTACGCCTTATTAATCAAAATAAGAATTTGACATTCATTCATTTCATTTGTAGTATGTAGCACATCATACGAAAAAATATGCATTAAGCTAATTAAAAATAATGATGTTTTAGTATTAATTGTTCGTCATTTATGTGATCAACAGATTGCGGTGGCTTGTGTGCTAGCGGCTACATCCGGTGTTTCTGGGACCAAGCTCAGCGAGGGCTACGCCATCTTGGTGCTGGTGCTAATGTGCTTCTATGCTGCCGGATTTGGATGGTCATGGGGTCCTCTAGCCTGGCTAATTCCAAGTGAAATCTTTCCCATGAATATTCGACCCACGGGCCAAAGCATCAGCGTTGCTTTTAACTTTGGTACTACGTTTGTGTTGTCACAAACATTTGTGACGATGCTCTGCCACTTCAAGTACGGGACATTCCTGTTCTATGCCGGTTGGATCGCCGCAATGACCATTTTTGCCGCGCTTTTTGTACCGGAGACGAAAGGAATTCCTTTAGACTCCATGTATGCTGTGTGGGAGCAGCATTGGTATTGGGGTCGGTTTGTCCAAGCGCCATCACACGGACAGACGTATCAGTGAATAAATTATCAAGAGATTAATTAGGTGGAGTCAAAGACAATTAACCATTATTATTACTTGGCAAGGGTCACACTATTTTTATGACTTGTTTACATCAAACATAACAGTGTATTGTACTTGCAAGATTTATGAATCTTTTCTATTGATTTATAGTGCATTTGTCAAGGAAGTTCTGCTTGGGTCTTAACTTCATGATATTTGAAAGAATCAGATTCTTCATTCTTGAATCAATGTAACAGTTTATTCAGCAAAAAAAAAAAAAAAAAAAAATGTAACAGAGTATGAACTTTTCCTAATTACAGCAAAAATAACCGAGTGGAAACTGGAAACCGATCCTAGGGAGTGACCTCAAGTCCTCGGCTTCAAGGCCTCGAAAAGCAAATATTAGTTGCTTTGTTCCCTCAATTACATAAATTGAATTCTACTATAAATTACATGTCGTTTACCATGGCCGAACGTCGTTTACTCTTATAAAATAAAAAGGCATGTCGCTTTTTTTTTTAATAGAATTAACATCGTTTACTCGTATACAATACAAATGATATAAAATTTTAAAACGTGTCATGTCAGACTCACAGAAACACTTGTACATTCGATCCGTCATTTGAAAGTAATCATGGAATATGTCATTTGATGATGATTGTGAAATTGTGTTGACGTTGGATGAATAATTCTAAAATCTCAATTCAAATATAATACAAATCTTTTAATTTCTCATTTTTTAATTCCCTAAATCTAATAAAAATTTGAACAAATTTAGTAAAATATGGCACGTTGCAACTGTTTTTCAAGATCGGAATATGTTTTACGAAGAACGACATTTGAAATAAGACATCATGTTGTTTTGTATTTGAAAATAAAAAGACATATTAAGAACTGAAACAAAAGTCGACATGTCGTTTCCTTTTAATGAAAGAGGACTCTCCAATCTCTTTTACAATTTGCATGTCATAGAAAGAGATGGAAATATCTATAATAAATAATGATAAGAATATAGAAATATATATATATATATATATTAAACGAGCAATAATTGCGAAAATTCAATTGATAATACGTTTCAAAAGAAAAACATTCAATGATAATAATATGATAAATAAATAAACATTAATACCCAACCACTATAATGAATAATCGGATGAATATGATAATATCAGTCAGTCAGCAAGCCGAAACGACAGTAAAGTAATACCATAAATTTTAATTTGAAATACTGTATCATTTTTACAACGAGGTATACTATTTTAATTAGGGGCGATACGTGTCATAGTTGATAGATATTCTTGCTTTGAGATTACCGTCATATATGTGTCATAGTTGATAGATAGATGTGTCCTACTATATCATTAGTGTAATTATGGGTGTGTTCATTTGCACAATTCAAGTTATGATTTAGGTTGTGTATGTAAAAAAAATATATATTATAGTAAAAAAGTTGAATTTAAATTTATGTTAGAGAAAACACTGTAGAAATATGACTTGAATCATAACTTGAGTAATGAAATGAATGAGGCCTATAAGACACAAAATAGATATTCTTGCTATGAGATTACTCCACTATAAATATCCTTATAGGGAGATTACTCCACTATATTGTATAAAAGTATTTACTTTAGTGTTTAAAATTGATTTTTTTAACATAAAAAAATAGAATTTGCCTTCAGTCGTTTATGAGACATGATTATATAATATAACACGTAAAAGGAAGAGGTATATATGGTGTTTATTATATATAATAAAAACTGAACAAAAATGCTATACTGATTTCCATAAGTTATTTGTTATTATAACTTCTAAAATTATTCTTTAAAAGAAGAAGAAGAAAGGTTATCTAAAAGATGAAACTCGTGTGAAAGCATGTGATGCGGTCGGACCATGCATATTTTTCTCGAATTGAAAATGGTGTTGACAAGGCAATCAGCAGTGGGCTCAGGAAGGAAAAGGGCGGGCCCAAGTGTTCCACTGAGATGTCCACGGTTGACATTTAAGAGTTGACCAATCAATACGGCGAATTATTAGGCCTTAATAAATGACGAAATCATTCAAGTACAATCCTAATGCTTTCACTGGCTTCCTGATAAGCTCTGATGAGCTCTTTGTACCATATAATATTACAAATATAATTTTCTTATGCTAATCATGCAAATAAAGAAAAGCCCTCAATATCCATAGTGCTTGGTGTTAAACTAACTTTTTAAATCACAACTCGTGGAGTTGCATGTGTGATTTAATGGTAATTCTTATTTATATATGTATATTCTTGTTTTTATTGCCGATATCAAAATTTCAAATCTAACACTCTTGATGCAAAGGGAAAAAAATATATCACACTCCTTATGTACACAAACTAAAAACCAAAAATTTGGTATCTACCACATTATTACGGTTTGTTATATAAACTGGATTCATCAATAAATTCAAATGAAATTCTCACGGTGAAAAGGCGTATACTGAATTTTAAAAGCGAACACTCAATAAAGTATATTGAAGATCAAACACATATATGGCTCTTTGACCAAGTCTCTACCATCAATGGAAAATTTTGATCAATAAAAGAAAATATTCAATAAGGTACACCAAAACCACAATTCTTGTCATTATAATGGTATGAATCCCTCATTCTTTGTTGAATTAATAGCTTTTATTGGTCTATATATGTGGTATAAACCTTAATAAATCAAACTCTTTAAAGTCAGAGTACCTTCTGAAAAATTGGCTTAGTATCAACAATTATAATATGCGTAACAAATAAAGTACTCTATCTAATTGCATGCGCCAAGTGGAAGTTTGAAAATATATATCTGTTCTGCAAGTATAAGGCTGCGTTCTTTATAACCTGATCACAACATGATCAGCCAAAGCAAATTGCATAACAATTATAAAATAAAAATAAAAATAAACTTATAATTGCACTCCTTTCGGCTTTAACAATTAAAAAATAAATAAAAAAGGGCAAGGTATGCACTCTTATTACTATTATCTAGTCTGCTCAGAAAGGTGGGACTCTCCTAATAAACCATATTTTGATAAAAAAATTCATAGGACCCCATCAAACATAAATACCATTGGTGAAGGAAGAAAAATAAATTTATAATTACACTCCTTTCGGCTTTAAAAATCATGGAAGGTTGTAAAAGTTTGGTCCTACGTACTTTGTACCGTTGAAGTTGTACACCGACAAGAACTTTAAACTCATTGCAGAGAGTTAAATTTGTATAACGATCTACCTATATATTACTGGTTGGATAATATATATATATATTATTTTTTTATAGAAGAAAAACAATGGGAATCATAATGTATATGTCCAATATACCTCAATGTAACAGTACTGAAATCAATTTTGCGATGCTGATATAACTAGTCGTGAAGATATAATAGATTATTTTCTATATAGCATTTAAGTTGTACAAGTGAACAATTAATGCATTTTTATACTAAAAGTGGTAGGGTTAGTATTAGGGTGTAACAATGTTGCTGTATATAGATTAATTTCTCGTGCATGGTGTATATTTGGCGTCAACATCCGGTTAATCATTTGGTCTAAAATACGTGAGCGCCTTCTTTTAGCAGTTAGCACCGACTTTATTGAAAGAGGTTTCAGCTGAAAATGGGAGTATTTTGAAGGGAATAAAAAATCTTAAACAATTTTGAATTGTTAGATCACTTTATAATTACATCATATTAAAAAATGTGTAACAGTTTAATGGAATTTGATTAAAAATAAAAAACTAACAGTTTAAAATTGTATTTATGGAATGGTTTTTTTTTTTTCCTGCTTGCCCTACTAGAAAATTGTTTAAAAGAAAAATATCACAAATGCACATGATGCACAACGTTGTGCTAGCTATTTGTTGCAAACGAAATGTTAAATCTTAAATTATATCTAAAAACCACCTGAAAGTGACCTCCCTCTTCAACCTCAGCCTGGGAGAGAAATCACTGTTTTCTAGGTAATAGATATTGCTCTTTCTTTCCATCGTCTTACATTAAATTCATTAATAGGACAATCAATCTGACATCACAGTCATGCATCCATATAAATAATGGCAAAGCATCCCAGCATACCTCCCCCAACAAAAGTTTAACGCCCACACACACACACACACACATATGTATTTTCTTCCTTTTTTTTTTTTACCCCGACATGATATCCACATTTTCACTTCGTCATAATCCCAACAAATGCTGAAAACTTTTATATACTTTTGCCTCCATTCTGTCGAAAAAATTCTTATCCAAACGAACCCCACTTGTGTAATATTTCAGTAAAGTGGTACTTTTTGGAGCAAGATTTATTTGTTTGTAATCGCCCGCAGATTATTAATATCATTATTGTTGTTATTATGGTCATGGTTAGATGTTCTAGTCAAATCAAAGGGATTCAACAACTTTGAAGTAATGAATTTAAATTTTGTATAACATGTCACATATCTGATTGTCGGTCCAAAAGCCCATGTCCCCTCCATATATTTTTCCATGCGCTTTTAATTAAATGAGATTTTTTGGGGTATATAAAATAGGAGGACATGAGTACACTCTTAAACTCGGTGCAATTTGAAGTCCTACTATTTTTAATGTAATTGTATTCTAAATTTAAAAAATACACACTAATACTAACTTGAATAACCTCGTAATAAAAAAACTTAATCTCGACCACGGATAAAATCTACCAGGAAGTTTTAATGAAATATAAAAAGGAGTAAAAGATGCATCAAATTTTAATAGAAGAAACCGAAAGGGCACACCTATTATTAAGGAAATAACACTATTAAAGCAACGTTTTAACTATGGAATTATTGGTGATTGGAGTAGGTTTCTAACACGGTTGGGTTTACTATAAATGGATTTAGGTCATAATCGGGTTAACACAATTAATAAATGGGTTGGGTTAAGGTTGACCTTCTAACACAAAGTGACATGAATTGACACGATAAACTATATGTGTCATCTGCAATCTAATGATATGTGATATAACATGAAAGTTTATATGACATATTAAATACAAATAATGTGAATTTTAATATTTGTA